CTTAAAATAAATTCAAATTGAAGTGCGAGAGTGTAATTTCCGGCCATCTAGAGATGCCCTAATCATAAATTTTCTTACCTCAGCCCCAACCATGGTGGGGCTGATGTGGGTGGTTTCTCGGTCTGTGGAAGTCCCTCCCTGAGTCCCTGTTTCACCTCTCTTTCGAATTTCTGAATCTGCCAGTGTTGATTTATTGCATAATTTTTTTTTTCGCTTATTTATGCGTCTATTGCAATTTTCACTTTATCCTCTCAAACAGTCCTAAGGTGGTCCTAAGAACGTTCACAGTGCGCTACTTCCCTTGACCCCGCCCCTTTAACCCAGCCGGGGTTATAGGTAATTCGCATAACGGCTCCCCCCCCCCCTTTCAAAATCCTGGCTACGTCCCTGTACCATCCTGCTAATCTCAATCGGCCGAGATGGCCATTAAGCTAACCATTACCCACCGCCACTAATTGCATCTGCTATTCTGCTGTTATGTAATTCACAGCATTTTTGTCATAAGCCATGTTCTCTGAACGGATTACCTTTTCCGCCGCACCACCATTCGTAATGTCCTTATATAATCATTTTTTATTCAAAAAGTGCCTCTTGAATTTAATAATGATGACATAATTAATGTCGAAATATATTGAATCCCGACACGATGGCGTGCATTTCGATACTTGGAGTATGTATTATACTACCTTATCTGAGATTTATCAGTGGACCTTTCGGTTTTTGAATTTAACAAGTTCCCATAAGAACCCCTCGATTTTCATCTATTTCCATAAGCATCCTCTCAATTTCCACTGTTTGAATAAGCGCCCCTCAAAAAATACAAAAAAAAATATTTTAAGCGCCCGGGCACTTATTCGCGCGAGTACGGTATATTGTTCAATCAAACATTCACTATAAGTGCTTGGCAAAAATTGTGAGAAGGTTGTAGAAAAGAAAGATTATAATTCTAAAGGGATTAAAAGCGTTGATGCAAAATCATGTAGTCTACTGCTAACGTTGAAGTGATGAGAACGAGGGCTGTGAATTCATACATTACGTAAATGATGTTCGGTATGTCATCAATGTGGGTATTACGGGCATAATAGCAGTCGGAATAATAATTGTATCATGTGTCTGCAGAAGGAAGTCAATGATCTATGTAACAAGTTTGATATCATCCTATTACAGGAACATTGGCTTCTAAGTGAGTGGCTGTACTTTATTTTCATTTCATCTTGACTTTGAGATCAAAGAGAAAAACAAATTAAATTTACGAATTCTGGTTCTATACTGCTCTAAATGTAATTAACCAGTGGGGGCTATTGGATAAAATAGAAACAGGCTTATAAGCTTAGGAGACCACTACTGAAATCATATAATTTAAATTGCTAAATGTATTCTATTTTTTGTACTATATTGTATTTTTTTAATCCCCTCGCCTCCAAAGTTATTAGCGGCACCAATTGCAGACGGCCTCTAAAAACCATTCCGATTGAGCCATTTTCCAAAAATTGTTCTTTACCCCGACACTGGTCACCTCATTATTACGTTCCTGTCAACGTCACTGAGTACGGTAACCTGTTGCCCGGTGCTGATTTTATCGTCGATGACCAGGTATTTATCATGGTCAACAAATGTTATTATAGGCTAATAATGCACTTGTTTTAATTACGAGTGATTGTTATTTCTTCGACTGTGTGTTTGTTAATTCTTGTCGACATCGTGAACGTAATTCTGATATGTAATATATTTATGATGATTGACATATTTGCCGTCGATCTTGGACAATTGATTATCAATCACAAGATGTCAATGAACCCATTTACTGGTCACTTCAAGCCAAATCAAAACATTCATTGTGTTTTATTTATTGATTTAACTTGTTGCATCAATGGCCCACGGGTAACTTCCTTCGTAAATTATCAAAATACTGATTTAAAGCGGATTCAGTTACCACAAACAACTTTATTTATTCAACATCGTGTAACTTAGGATGTATACAGAGTTCATATTGATCAATACTCAAACATAGCATCCGGATATTTAAGAATTATATTTCGAATACATTCATCATTCGTTCGTTTGTTTCCCGCCAGTGGCGTAACGACGAATAAAGTGTTGGGGGCCCAGTGAATTTTAAGTAGTCGATTACGAGAAGCCACCTTCACAGTGGAATATCCAATACCAATACCATGGCACGTTATATTACTGTAATGTAATTCTCTGTAAAAATTTGTCGTATGCTCGACCATAAAGGCTCTCAGTTTCAGAAGAGTGCTAGTAGGGGCCTCAGGGCCCCATTGGACTGGGGCCCAGCGCTTCACCCCCAATCTCCCCAAGAGCTCATAGGCGTTACGCCACTGTTTCCCGTCCATTGTAGGGGTGGGAGATGCTTTTTTTCCCAGAAAGTAAGTTATTGTCCTGAATACTTCTATGGGAGGTCCAAGAAAATACCCCTCCCGATTGCCATAAATGGATTCTCTGGCAGTTCTAGTAGCTTTCTTTTCAACCAACCCTTTTTGTTTGCAGATGTTTTCTGTGTAATTTTGTTTGTTAATTCTAATTTCATTTTAGAAGATTTAAACCATCTGAGGTTTTATTATAGTTGGCGCCGGTAATCATCCTATTGGTGTTTTTCGCGTGGATGCTGAATAAACATGTTTTAAATAGTTTGCTCGCTTTAATAATTTTTGCATGTGGGCTTCGGGCATCTGGGAATTTCCTTAAAATTCTCTAAGGACCATTTTTATCCTGGTACTCCCATGGCCAAGGAGATGCGTAGGTATAATGTCATAAGTGATTTTCGGGCATCTGGAAATTTCCCTAAAATTTATTCTCTAAGGACCATTTTTATCCTGGTACTCCCCCGTACACACATGTCTACCAGGTTTTACCAAAAGACACTCACCGATTGATTTGATCTTTAATATTTTGAGATAATAATATCGCAGCCAAGATACAAGTACGGTACTAGAAAGGCAAGTTTAGTGAATTCTGTGAAAGACATTTTCATCAAGGGCATGGTTATTCAAAAGTGAATTAAATAATCTTGTTCCAGGAAACGTGGATTAATTTGTAGGAGGCAATAGCATTTACCGCTATAGAGGCATAAGTTGAAATAACAATGACAAAAACAACAACATAATGAAAATAAAAATAATAATAATTTGATAATAATAAAATAATAATTCATAAGGACAACAAAGCTTTGGTTGTTATTCTTAGAAATAATGTTCCCATTGCATTTAATTATTTCTAGATATCTTCAATTTGTTTACTTCGACAAACAAACGAAAAAATTTGAGGACACTAAGATTATTCGTTATTTTAAGTTACCGCAAACTGGACCATTTTCAGAGGTTATTAGAAGATTAATTTAATGGAAAAACAGTTCTGTTTAAATATTAAATTTTTTTACTCATTAAAAATAAGAAATATTTTCTCTGTGAAAGACCCTGTCCCAAATGATCTAGGGTGTAGGGGGCGGGAAGGTGTTTCGAAAGGGTTTATAAATTTACGTGCGCAGGCTGTAATGCCTTCTATATTTGTGACATTTTGCAACTTGCGTTAACGAATATATGGCAACGGAGAGGAACTCATACATTTTGAAATATTTAAAAACTTCAATGTAAAGCATCCGTCTTGTAACAAGGGCAGTTTTCGTATGTGTGTCGCCTTAACAGCTATCCAACGAAAAATCAAGGAAGCGTTATACATCTAATTGGATAAGCTCTCTTTTAAAAAACATCTTTTACATGTTGATTTGACTTTGTCGAATTGTTGAATGGCCTAAAATAGAGGGAATACCGTATTTAATTTGAGGAAACAGTAATGATAATAGATGGGCATTCAACCGGAGTCGCAGAAATATCTTTAATTGGAGGTGGTCATCATCACCATCCTCATCATCTTCATCATCATCATTATCATTATCATCATCATTATTATTATCATCACTATGAGAGGGTCCTTGGATACCATAATTTAGTTACGGTATCTCATAATAATAATTTGTGTTCCACGTGCTTTTCTTGTTCCATCGAAGATTCACGGTTATCTTGAGGTGAAATTCGAATAGGATTAGGTCAAACAATAATAATTATTTTATAGCACACACTTGAGTGTGAGTTTGTAAACTAGCATCTTGAACTTCGCGTTATACAAATCGGATTAAAGAGAACTTCCGGAGGGTTGTATCATCGGAAACAATTGCCGTTATCGTACTAAGCAGTTTTCTAGCCAAACAACTAGTGACATCATCAACTTCCTTCCAGATATAAAGAATAGAATGCAATTATTAGCGCTGATGATGATGATGATGATGATGATGATGATGATGATGGTGATGATGATGATGATGATGATGATGATGGCGATGGTATTAATGATGATTAACAGGAGGAGGAAGGATTGTGCCTGTGACCAGGCGGTGGTGGTGATTGTTAATGATAATGGTGACGATGATGATAATGATTATGTTGATGGTAGTGCTGATAATAAACAGTGGCGTATCTAGAAGTCTTGAAATGGGAGTGCTGATTGGGGTTGGTGGGGTGGGGCGTGAAGGTAAAGTG